ACCCCCCAAAAACGGGGGGGGGGGGGCAGAGAAAAAGATACATACACATGGTGGAGGGAAAACAGGCAACAGCAGAGAGCAGAGGGAGAAGGACCATTCCCAGTCTTTGGGGAAACATCAGTCCTTTATTTTGCTATAATAGGTTCTCACTCAAACTGGTGCTGCACTCTACTATTCCCCCAAAAGGCCTAGCTGAGGTTTTTTTTTCTCTGCTCTTTTTAGGAATCCTCTTGAAGACTGATGCAGTTCACTCAAGTTAACAGTTCTGAACCAACAGACTAGTATCAACTCCAAAATTTCTCATAGATTCTCAAGACGTGCTGCAAGGCACATTTGGAACCTCACATCATGGTAAGGAAAAGGCCCAGCATAAAAGCGAAGTGCCGTTTGATAGGGCCTGCTATGACCTGTACACAATGACAGACCATACACCATGGCTTTGCTGCAAACTTCTAACTTAAGGAAAGTTTTGAGAAGGACATACACAGTATTGGCGAGGGACAATCTCATCACACTAACTCTGGTTTTGTTCCCAGATAAATCTCCTAAACTATAGTCCCGTTCTCACTATACCTGGACAAGTGAACAAGAAGTCAAAGAACTCCCCCTCCTCCCTACACAATTCGTGTTCCGCCCACACTGAACTGGTTTTGTTCACCTGAAAAGGGAGAAGGGCTTAGGAATGACTAGTGTTTAAAATAAACAATTTAATTTCTAGCCATATGGGTACAAGCAATCTGAACATAACAAAAAGGATTCAATCTCTTCCCCATCTGTTAACTCTCTCACCTCCCTCCACTTGTTCCAAGTCTGCTGCAGACACTTTGAATGGTGAAATCTTGAGGCTTGCATCTCCTTGAGCCTCCTACAGGAAAAATAATTTAATTATTTCTCCTACAATGCAATCCATGTTACTGAACCTCTCTAGCACAGGCATGAGTCCACACTTGCTATTTTCAGTAAGTCATTTACTGAGTGAAAGACAAAGCAGCAGATTCTAAAGCACAAATAAAGAGTCAGAGTCATTGTGAATTAAATGCTGCTTTGTCAAAAGTAGGCCACCACAGGGCCAATCCAAATAATTCTCCCTTTTAAAAAACCTTCTTACTCTGTTTTTCTCTCCTGAGTATTTTGCTTCCATAGACAGAAAGCCTTTAGCAGAAGCAAGTTACTGTAGTGATCTCTTGCACGAACCAAGCCCTCTTGCTCCTCCAAACATGCAGCTGTTCTTCTACGCCAGAAGCACCAGAAACAACGCAATAGTTGCCTTTCAAAATGAAGTACAGCCTATAATGGAAAGAAGGTGGCAATGAATTCAAGACACAGGCCAGTTACAAACAACAGAAGACAATTCTTTAAAGGTGACATGCACAGAACTGTCCGATATTTGCTTTCCTCTTCTCATGTTGAAGAGCAATGGACACATGTCATCAAAGCCCCTTTGCTGCGAGTTTATGTGAACGTGTTCTACAGGTACCTATATGCATGCGGATGGAGAAACTGTTATCAGAAAACAGCAGGCCAAAGAGAGGAAGAACACAAGCTGATAAGTAGCATGTGAAAGACTCCCAAGAACCGATAAGCTCCAGAAACGGATCCTGTTGAATTCGCAAGAACTGATAATCTTGAGAACACCAAGAGTCAACCATATCTGCACAAGGCCACCCACACACGCTACCATCAACTATGAGTTGTGTAATTCAGACCACATAAAAGAAGGCAGTGGCTGCTATATATAAAGACTACAGGATTATACATACATCTTAGGAAATGAAGGACCCCCTAAGGGACTTTCTGGACACCTACCAAGAAGCAACTAGTTTGTTGCACTTCTTAAATAGGCTGGTGTTGGCTCTTTATTACTATTATTGTTTCAACTGGGTAACTATGAAACAGAGACAGTGTGAGAGAGAGAGAGCACACACATATTTACTGGGTGAGGGAATAAGCGAATTAACTGTGTGAATAGTTATCCTCTAATAATAACAGCTTGATTCTATTATTAATAAACAGCTTAGCTTAAAAAATCTGATCACTAAATATTGGTTGTAATCTGTTTCCCCTGACTTGATCCCCCACCAGGGAAAATGGAATTTACAACACCCGAGTCCATCTCATGCTAACTGATGTTCACAGACAGTGATTAAGAAATCATTCCCTCTATTTCCTAAGCAAGGCCAGGTAGAAGAGTTACATTTACCCTCCTCTCTCCCATTCGGTATTCTTGCTGCTTGCACACCTTCAGCAACCATGTGTCAAATACCTGTCTCATCAACATCCTCCTGCAAGCAAAAAGGGAGAACGTCATCACAGGAGAGAAATCTTGCCCAGAATACATGAGACAAGATTAATGAATTTTCTGAAGTTATTAGAACTCCCTGCTTTCATTCAGATAATTCAAAAGATGTTCCGACTTCTGACCAAAGAATTTATTTTATGTACAAACACACACAGAAAAAAATTATATAACCACCTTTTATTTCTTCTCCACTGTAAATATAGTCCATTCCCTCCTTCCTTGGAAATAGTTTGAAAATCCTACTCTTCTTCATTTAACAACAACAAAAAAACCCCAACAAACAAACCAAACAAGCATCGTAATAGGACTTGAAAACTGTTATAACAACAAATAATAAAGAGCAGCGTGGTCTGATCTCAACACTGAAGGGATTCTACCAAAGCCTTCCTTCATGAATGAGGTCAGGTTAGTTGCCCTTATTATCAAAGATTCTTTCTCTCTAGATGAAGATAATACTTGCTAGTCTGCCTCCCAGGGTTGCACAAGAGTCATTATCAAATAGTATCCCAAAAATGCAATTAATATATATTTGTGACTCAGCACTATACATCTCTCACACAGAACAAGCATATGGTAGAAGTATCTTAGTCCAGAAGTCTGAGCTACAGCCTAGTAGAAATAGCACCCAGTTCAAACCACATCAGTTATTTCCAGAACTCAGTCATGTGGGCGTACTAATTAGACTGTCAGCAAGTCCCAGCTCTTCTCTAGTCTAGAGAGGCCTAAAAGATATTTTGGATTCTTACCAGGTAATTTTTAGTAGGCAGCTGTTACAGCTCATTACAAGTTTATAGGTTGGTAAACAACATGAGTTAAGTAAGTCTTCCTAGAGTTGCCAGCAAGAGTCTTTGATCTGTAGACAGTCACAAATCTCAACTGATGGCTCTTCTGGGGTATCTCCTGGGTCTTACCACCCGATACAGCAGTCGGGGCACTGACTTGTGAGACAGCACATATGTGCATCAGGGACCAACAGGGAAGCTGAGTTCTGGCAAGCTGCCATGAAAGTTTTACTTAGGTCTGGTTGGAAAGCAGTCCTGGACCTCTGAACAAGGAACACACTTCTTATATTTTTCTTCTTTTGTGTTCAGGAAATAGGACTTCATTTATACTCTTTCTAAAGAGAAAAGATTGCACACAAAAACATTCCTGACCCATGGAATCAAGGTATGGCTACTGAATCAACAAGAGCCTTCGAACCATTTGTTCATCCCTTCCCTGGTGAGAGACACATACGTTACATTGCAGCAGTTGCATGCTCCAACTCAACTTCACTGAGCTTAACTTCCTGAGTCTTTGAGCCTTTTCTCTCTGTCTCCAGAGGGTAAGCTAATGCACCACACCTGCACTCTCACACCAGTTGGAAAAACTCAATCACTTGCAGAAATGCAGCTGCCCTCGTTATTCAGCCTGCCCTCCAAACCTATTTGTGAATCTCCCAAAAAGCAAGCCAATATCCAAGGCAAAACAGACTTTCTGCAGCTTGCTTTTCAACTGTGAAGCCAGGCTTCTGATGATGGAAAGGTATGACTCTAGAACACAGGTGTGACCATGTTCTAGAATGATGAAAGATGCCAATGAAAGATGCAAGGTCCCAAGTCTACTAGGAAAGAAGATTCAATGTTAAACAACATTTTTTTCTCTCTAACTTACACAGGAAAATGTCCCAGGAAGGGACTCACTGTAAGAGCAGATTTCCAAACACACCCTTTCCCAAGGAAAGCAAACTTTTTTTTGTTAGTATTCTAATACAGAAAATGGGAAATAGGTTTTAATAGCATCATAAAATACTTTAGTACTTAAAGCAAACTCTGCTGGGAGGATTAAAAGAAATGAGATAGAAATTTTATTGAGTGGAAGATACTGATTAGGCCACAAGGTAGTTCTCTGAGCTGTAGTAAAATCAAGTATCTTTTTGAATACAGGCTGTGCTAAGCTGATAAAGAACATCACACATAAGCTTACATGACAGAATGAAGCTTCCCTTCCTTCCCTTATTACCCTGCATCTAATTTAAACCAAGCAACTATGTGGCTCGTTGCACTAATATACTAACATGGTGACATCTCAACAGGTTTCATTTGTTTGAGAGCAACACCATAATATTGTGGTTGAAGTGTTTACAGCACTCAGATCCTGGGGCTGGAGTTGAAACTGAAGAGTACAGGATGCTGTACTGAGTAGCACAGACCTGTCTTGTAGAGGTCTCATTCTCTCCTGCTAAGCTTCACCCAAAAATCAAGAAAGTTCTAAGGCAACAAAGTTCAGAGTACTTGCACGTCCTGCAATTTTGGAACGAACTGAAAGCAGCATTAAGAACTAATAGACAGAGGAAGTGTAAGAATCAAATATATACTCTTTCAACTTCATCATAACAAACATGTACTCCCCACCAAACTCCACAGGTAAAATTTAAAAGCCTTCTGGCTGCTTTGTTAATGTTGACTTATTCCTAGGACTAAATAAATTTAGCTTCTACAAAAAAGCCTTACCTTCAGTCTTAGAGTACCTCTAGCAGCAGAGGTAGCATACATGAGCCATCAACTCCCTCTGCTCCTCCTCAGAGTAAAGCAGCAGCAAGTGTTTTGAGCTGTGTCTGTGCTCATGCTGCAACCTACTGCTCTTACCAGTAAAACGTCCAGCTCTTAAATCTAAACAAGCCTCAGAGCTAGGCTTAATCAATCTCCCTCTCACATTTCACAGAGAAGCAGGAGATGTAAATTGTCCATTACTCATAGAAAATATAAGAGCAATTGGCATCAGGATGGTCATGCCCCCAAAGGTATTACCAGATTTTAAAAGAGAACTAAAGGCCCACAAATCCCACATTTGTACAACTTCATATTAATATTTCTCTGCATACCTATAACGGGCATGAGCCACTGATATTAAGGCCTGCTGCTGTTCTTCCTCTTTCTCTTCCAAACGGGACTTCCAACAGTTCCAGAACTTCTGCAGAACCTGAAACAAAACAACAAAGACATGAAAAAACATAGATATTGAGGGAGAAGAATGCAAAGAAGGAAATTATTAAATGTCCTACTGAAACTACATGCTGCAATGGTTGCCTCCTGCATTGCTTCATATACCAAACTTGTTTTATAACCTGCTATGAATCTTTCTGGTAAAAGAAAAAGTCACCATAAACAGGAAAACAGAAAACTAAAATAATGTATCTAAGACTGACAGTTGATTTGCCACAGAAAATCTCTTGTGTTATTTTTGTATTTAGCAACAAAGCCACTGATTTAATAAAACAGTATTTTGTAGGTGAAAGTGGAAGCCAATAGGCTCAAGAAAAACTAACACAAGAACAAGAAAAAGTTAAACTCACTGTAACTTGATGCTGACGGTATGACAGATTTTTTCTCATTTGCTGAAGACGTGTGTTCATGACATTCTGCCAAAGACCCTTAAAACCAAGTTTCTGTAACAAGAAATGTACACAGCTTTCATGTAATTCCAATCAGCAAGCACTGGTAAGTTTAGAACTGGCTGCTCCTTACAAACAATCTATGTTTGATGCTACTCCTTGCAATAGCTAAGATTTATGAACTCAAAGCCATGCATCAGTTTCCTCTCACAAACTGCCACTTCTCCAGCTAAACTAGAATTCCCTTCCACTTTCCCAGGGTTTTATTGCGAGACATCTAACTCCTTATTCAGCTATCAACACCACTACCCAAGTCCTTTCCCAATCTATCTCCTCCTTCAGTTCAAGACTTATAACTCGCTCCTTATCAAAAACAGAAAAGATCCACTTCCCTTTTAGGTCTCCTCTGCACAAGGTCTTCTGGTCTACAATCCCACAGTATCTTGATTCAGGGATGAACACGGTAAATAGCATTATGAGAGCATCCTGCCTTAAAGTGCTCTTATAGTCACTAACATTTTCAATCTATGATCCAAACAGCTTTATTGCCATTCTTTTGATGATAGGTACTGATCCACACTTTAAAACAATTCAGTTCCAAAAAAGCTGGAGGTTTGCTTGTGCCCACCTTTCAGACAGCCTTCAAGGATTTCTTTTTTTAAAAAAAAAAAAAAAAAAAAAAAAAGAGACACTTACTCAACTACCTGCATATGCAATAAGCTATCTTTGGACTCGTGAAAAGAAGCATGTATGCATTACTACAGAGGCAAAAAAATAATTCTTGTTGCAAAACAGTGTAAGCAGACAGAAACATTTGGGGTAGAGGTGAGAAGAAAAAAAAAATCAGGGAAAATCAAGGGGAAAATGCAATCTCATGGTGAAATGGCCAGGCAGCATGGCAGCCCAATACCATCAAGATTAATCTGCTACTTCACCAGTTTCCCAATTGGAAGAAAAACTATTTTGGAGAGCAGCATGGTTTCCCCATTTGGATTCAACTGGCAGATTCCAGAATAGTTGGAATTTAGAAACCTGATGCCCGATCCAAACTCACCATGGCAGAAAATGGTGCATCCCCCACTTAACACCCACACACCACTGTTAGTATTAAAGGCACACTGCCAGTCAGAAGTATTTTAATTCTCTCCACAGCCTCTTCCACCTGATGCATAACAGTGCTCTTACCAACAGATGATGCTTGTAGTGTTTTTCAGCCAGCTCACACTGTTGAGTCTCTTCCACACACAGTACATCTGTCACTGAGTTAAAGTATCTTTTACACAGAAACATCCATCCTGATATATACACAACCTTCTCCCACAGAGGGGCACTAGATCTCCATCTAAATTTGCTTCAATATTTGAATTTCCAGCACTGTTACCTGTGCAAGTTTTGATTACAGTCAAGTTTTTAGATTTTGCTGGTTTATCACAATACATTTCTGATTCACTGTTAAGTAAGAAATTCCTCCCCAGCCTTAAATTATCTTCTGCAGGCTCTTAGCTGTCAACAGGCTAACATACTGTAATTGCAACAGTTTTAAGAATTGTTAGTATGGCCTTACGTACATCTTTCTGATAACATGTTTATTGTCACCCGTGCTACTGCACAACATTCCTGCTTATTAACCAGATCTTTCCCCTGCAGGAATGCTTTCAACCTGTCCCTGCTAGGGACTAAATACAGATTGGATACAATGCTTCCAGTGTGCAAAGACTCTCCATAAGGCAATCCTTGCTGCTAGTTTTTCAATGTCCTTTCGGTGAGCATGCATTCTTCTCCTACACTCCCATGACAGCCGCCAATCAGAGAAACACTGCCGGACTATCCTGCTTTGGTGATGCTCTTGGGCCAGCTCTAGAAAACAAACACACAAATTACTCATGACTTGCTCCTTCCTGGGCTCATTTATATCAGATGAGGCCATGACATTTAAGGCCATGACATTTAAGCCACTGGTTCTGAAGTGACAGAAGCTCTAACACTGAAAATGCTAGTAAGAATTCACAGCAACACTCAGCTACGGACTATATTCTTCCTATTGATCACAAAGGCAGTTTTAAAGCAGTAACATACTGCTTTACTTTTAAATGTACTACTTTACATTTTAACGTACTGACTTAAGAAGGGGAAGTTAAGACACTGCATCACTTGTTCAACATATACAAGCTTGCTTACATGTCAGCATACTCCTATTACTAGTTCCCAGATATCCAAGCTGGATTCTTTTCCACTACCACCGATCAACAGGCAATTCACACAAATGTCTGAACTCATTCCAGTGACTTCAAGGGAAGAAACAAAAGAACTGGTGTAATAATCTTTACCATCCTGTCTGAGTTGTGATTTGTCTGACTATCAAGAAAACCCACACAGACTGACTGATAATAGTCCTGAATACGTCCTTCTCACAGATATCTCAGTCCGAATATAATATGCAATGTGCAAGTTTTCGTCAAGGGAACTGTAAAGCATTTTCTTTTAAATCACATGGAAAGCAGGTGATCTTTCTGTTCAGTGTATAACCTTAGCTAGCCAGGCCTGTAACAGTGTACAGTCCAAGTTGCATCTCATCATCTGTTGAGCAAGCAGAAACATTGCAGCGTCTCCTAAAATAGAAAAAACACATCACTGTGCCCTAAGCAAAGGGGATGAGGCCCATTCTGTCCTAACTCACCGTTTTCACTCACCGTTCTGAAGTTTCTTTGCTCTGTGGAGGTTTAAGTATCCTAGCCACGCTTCCATGCATCTCTTCAATTCCCAGTGCTGATGGTGAGTTATTGCCCTACTCTCCTTCTGCTTGTCATTCTGGCTATACAAATACAGCTCTCGCCACTGCAACCAAGCCTGACAGAACAATTGAGGAGGGAGGGCAGTAAGGGGAAAAAAACGGACAAGATTAGGGAAGTAGAACAAAGAAGAGAAGAGGAAGAACACACAGGCAGTAGGAAATTCCATGTAAGATCTAAAGGTGAAAGCCATGACCAATGAGGTTCCTCCCCACAACGGGAAAAAAAACAAACAACAAAAACAAACAAACAAACGCCAAAGGAATGTGAGCATAGAAAAGGTTAAAGAAAGAATGTCGATATCAAACTTCTTTCCTTTTTTGATACTTTCACACTTTTTCCATTAAAAGGCCAAAATAATACTTTTTGGACAACAGGCTTTCTTTCAGAGGATTTTCATATAAAAGAGAATCACATCTTGAGATATGATACGATTTCCCAATTTCTCCTTAGTAGAATACTGGCCTCAAACAGGCAGTGTCACCATCTTACAGAGCAGGCCAAATTAAATACCATCACCTGTTTCTAATGAAAGGGACAAAAAGCCACAGTTCCAGTGAAAGAAAACCACACTCTCCTCACTTCCGCTAAGATGAACAATTTACTGAAGGAGCTGACAACCTCTCAAGAATACAAAATGCTGGACTGTATTTTCTTACCCCAAAATGGAGTTAAACATGCTCACAGAAATTCATTAGGACGTAAGAAATGTTGTCTTACAAAGAGGCAAGGTGCTGTCAAACAGCAAGTGCTATCTTGCCTCCTAACAGGACAGTGGATTGGACCTCTGTGGAGTTCGGCATTCTAGAGAGCTGGATGCAACTACCCTTCATGCCCTGCTCAAAATGCCACAGCTGCAAACTCACACACCTGTTTTCTTTTACCTCTTATTTACCTGTGGCTAGTTTCTCTAGTGGAGAGAACTCTGATACTTTCACTATCATCAAGCATCATATAAGACAATATTTGGACAGTCTGCTTCCTAGCAAATACAAGACATGGATCCAGTTTGCTTTGCCTAGATTTCTTGTAAAGAAATTTTTCTTGTAAAAAAATTGTTTTGACCTTCTTCATAGAATTGTAGAATATCTCAAGTTGGAAGGGACCCATCACGATCATCGAGTCCAACTCCCTGTTCCTCGCAGGACTACTTAAAACTAAATCATATGACTAAGAGCATCGTCCAGACGCTCCTTGAACTCCCGACAGGCTTGGTGCCGTGACCACTTCACTGGGGAGCCTGTTCCAGTGACTGACCACCCTCTCAGTGAAGAACTTTTTCCTAATGTCCAATCTGAACTTCCCCTGACGCAGCTTCATTCCATTTCCTCATGTCCTAATACATTCTTCCATCATAAGTACTGCAATTTGCAAAGCAAATGAGTATAAGGCCTATTTTTTATTAATCTGCAACTTTATTCACACGTGCGTGCAGCATAAACGTCAGAAATGGTAGTAGCTGAAGCTCCTGGACTTACTCGAAATTGCAGGCTCTGGGCCCAATGCTGCAGAGCCAAAATATTCATTTTATGTCCAGTGCAGTTCTGGTAGTGTCGTCTTCTCCACACTGCCCATGATATGCTGCCAAAACAATGTTATAGACATGTTCAAACGCAGGTTCCATAGTTTGGTGCAAGAAATCACCTTCCTCTCACTGGAAAAAGGTATGAACAACAATCTTAAGTTCACAGTCTATGGGTGTACCAGAAGAATTCAGAGACACACACACCCCAAAAAGAATTAAAAAAAAAGTCAAACATGGAACAAAGCCAGCGCAAGAAAAGATAACAGAACACAGGGAAAAACCATGGCCTTCTAGTCAGTGCCTCTCTGCCTGTTTCCGCTCCATTCTTACCGCAAACAGCTTCTTTCCCTGAATGCCAGTGCCACAGACTGCATCCCATGTTTTGTCCTTTGAACATCAACATAAACCAGCCAGTGCTGCCAGGTCCTGAGCAATTTTTGCTTCTTTGCTGTGCACAACAAAAAAATTACAGCATCTTAAGTTCATGCAAGAATCTAGCATTTTTTAACCACTCCATAACACCACTTGTCCCCGACCTCCACTCAACTCAACCGTAGTGACACCTCGTGGGAAACGCTGAAACAACAGCCACCAGAGCCGCAGCTGCAACCATCCACCCTGGCTGAGGGTGTCACACTGACAAGACTCTGAAACGCTGACAGCATCATGCCACTTGTTCAGAGCAGCGTGAATTATTAGACAATGGCATTGCTTTGTCTTCAGTGCTTACAGGGTATATAATTGTATAACAATATTCAGCGTAACAACCCCGTTGGGTAAGAATTACAGGATTTTCTTTGGTTCGTTTAAAAAAAAAAAGTTCATCAGGTTCATCAGTAGCTTTTCAAGAGTTATTCTCTATTACAAGCAGAGAAATCAACCAGAAACAAGTCAAGTTTATTTAGCAGGCTGGTCACGCAGCTAAAAACAGAAGTGGTGTCACAAATTCCAGTTTACCACTTTATGCAGTGCACTGCACTTTCTCCTCACAACAGTCTGGCTTGTCAGAACTGACACTATTGAAGCAAAGTTATTAGAAAGAAATAATCCAAAACCACCATGGATTTTATGCCACTTCACCCTTGCACTAAAAAAAACCACCCACACTTTTTTTTTTTTTAAGATTTCCTTGTGATCCAGTGAATCAAGTATTAACCTACCTTAAAACAGGTCACTTTTCTATCTTTTTGACTAACACACAGCTGCTTCTGTAAGTACTCTGGCCTCACTCAGTAAGAAAGGAAATCTAGACAGCCTATCAGTTTGTTTCCAAACGTGCCAGTCTGTATAATATTCTGAGGCTACATTCATATGCAAAGAGACCAGTTAACTTGTTTTGCAAATCAGCACAGAACAAAACCACAGTATCATCTTTAAAAGAGGGTCATCCTCCCCTTCAGGCAAACAGATATTCCCTGAAACCAAAGGAAGTTGCAACCAATACAGGCAACTTCATCAGTAGGACAAATCCATTGCAGAACAAAGAATCTACACAGTAAGACAAGGGGCACTTCGAAAGCTTGGGCTTCTTTTCCATTGCAAGACACAAGCTGGAAGGAATAGTGAATACAGATAAAATATGTGCAGTTAATATCACAGGGAATGATTATCTAATTTCTATAGCCACCGTTGATAGAATGTGTTATTGGAATTCTCTATCAAAAAATATCTATTTGAACACATATTGTGATAAAGTAAAAAAACCAAAACAAACCCCAACAGACAAACAAAACCAAAAAACCAACCAAACCAGCCGCCCAAAAACAAACAACACAATCCGGAGCAGATGGAGAGGCCCTTAAGCTTATTCACCAGCATCCCTAAATAACTATATAGCTACACAGTAGTGCATCAAACAGACCTTCCCTGCCGGCTTTAGACAACCATCTGCACCTAAAAGTATTACACTTCCACGGGGTGGGGGGGGAGGTCAACGTGCAAACATTTACAAGGGACAGAGATTCTGTATAAATATTTCCCTTGGAAACTCCCACCTCAGTATGTCCCCAAATAAAGGTAGTTACCATCACTTCACTTACCATGAGATTCTGCAACATAATATTTGTTCCTCTTTCCTTGTTGCTGGCATACATAGGCTCTCCAAGCCTTGAATATCAAATTATGGAGTAAATGCCTGAAAAATTAAAAAAGCGCCTTTCAGTGAAATAGCTACCAATGCCTAAAAGTAGGATTCTTTCAAGTTCAGTCACACTCTAAAGATAAGTTGGATAGGAAATTTTGACTTCATCCTAAAACAGAAGCAAAAAAAAAAAAGGCGGGGGGGGCGGGGGGAATATGAAAATAAGCAATTAAGACATTGCTCTTGGCCTAGAGGTACTGTTGATGTAACTTGCTTACTGGTATTAATAACACCTTCAGAACCTAAGGAAAATTTCTCATGTTGCTATATACACACAATAATAGGAAGTCATTTCACAAACCTGTAATGGCTGTCTGCTCTGAGGCTGAGCTTCCTTTCCCTGCAAACAGTCCACCAGTCCTTCCAGTCTCCAAAAGTTTTTTGAAGAATCTTCTGGTTATAAAAGCATCTAAACAGCGGAAAGATTTGGACATGGGAAACTTCATACAGGTTATCAGGTTGACCACAAATCAGTTTTAATGAAGTTTATGCTACCTCTTTTCCAGTCTTGTCTGATTAGCCTAACAGCATTTAAAAGACACTACCCTACTGTGACACTTTACTCCAAGACTCTGTGAAGTACGACAAGAAGCAATCAGCTTACTGACTGTAAATACTTCACATAAAGTCAAGGAAGGAAAGACAGATGTTGTTAACTGACTTGCCAAATATCGCAGTGCCAGATGACTTTAGACCTACTCGCATCTTCTATCCTCAGTTCTGTGTTTTACTCAAACAACCAGCACCGTTGATAATATGTGTATTTTCCTTGCTAATTTTGTTCTTTGTTATTTTAACACAAAATATTTTATGTATAGAAATAAATAAAAAAGCTACTTCAGATTTTATAATGCCTTGATATTTCTATTGTGTTCTTAGAAACAGCATGCTGATCTTAAGTCATCCCAAATATAAAATCTTCCCAAAGAACACTTAAATAGGCTTAAGAACTCCTTCAGCTAGCTGCACATCATCTATGCTAAAAACAAAGCTGTTCATCTGCTCATGTACCTTCTCCTTCCAATGGATGCTAAGCCATGCACAAAATGGATTCACAAGTCACATATGACCTTCAAATTCTTTAACCTCAGTAGAAGAGTCTCTGCTTTTATACCCAGATTTAATTAACACGTACCTGACCAGGTAAGAAGAGATACTACATTTCAACTGAACTGTGAACAACTAAAAATTCAAATATAGGAGGGTCTGCATGAGGGAATTAGGATTTTGATCACCTAACTAAAAATAATGGTCATAATCTACTATTTCAAGCAATTCCTTTTTTTTTTAGTTTTAAAATATTCTCTCAAACATTTTTCCATGTGGTCAAGATGACCTGGGCAGCAGCCTAAGAACCGGAAAGTCTCATCAACTGGAGTAGGAATACTCTCAAAAAATCTCACATCTCTTTGTCTTTGTGATGGAGAGAAGGAAAATAGAAAGACCCATGAAAACATACAAGCTAACAAACAAAAAGTACACAAGCACAGACTCACAACCTTTGATCACAACTATCCCACTAGCTTAATGAAATTGGTCATATCTGTAATAACAACAGGGCTAGGCCCAGAATACCTAGAGGTCCCTCAGTAAAACACATATGAATCCTCTCACAAGTTGCAATTCATAGCTACCTACCCCAAGCCAAGTTGCTAAGTCATTCCAAGCACTCAAGCAGAAAAGAAAAGAAAAAGAAAGAGAAATGAGCTATACGTTATTTTTTTGGACTTGGTGCATTAATGGAACATTGCAAATAAAAACTATGAAAATCTAGGGACTCTTAAATCTAAAAAGGCAATTAATTATTGCTTATGTTCCTTGCTGAACTTTATAAAACATATTTCTACTCATCCTCCTAAAAAAAAATAAAATAATCGTTGTCCTGAATTTACACACAGCCAAAGTAGTGCAAGTTCAGTGTACAGGATAGCAGGAACGGTAAGGTTCACAGGACAACTTCAGTTTACCAGCTAAGGCAGACATAGAATAAATTTGATACAGTAGTACAAGGAAATCGGATAATTAAGGGCCTGATCTTATTCTGACTGTAACAAATGCAGGTTTTTCCACTGGGAACTGCTTCAGTTCCTAAGCATGTGGTCAAACAAGAATGAACATGCAAATTAAAGCAAAACAAAAGAGTATCAAAGCATTGGTTTTCAGTAGCTGACAGAACACTAACAACAGAAACGAATTATCCGCCACAGGTATTTCAAAGTCAGACAGATACAAAGCATATATAGATATACATTAAGAGCAATAGTGCAAACAGTAAAATGAACTGAATTTCAAGATCTATCTCTAGTTATAACTTTGAAAAATTGTTAAATTTAAAGCAGGTGTCACAATCATACCCCATCATTTATATGTACATACAGTTCAACTTCATCAAGACAACCGCAATTCCTATGAATTTAGTTAGTAAAGTTTAACCATGATTATTAAAAACAAACAAAAAGCAGGAGCAAGAAGGGTATTCAAAGGAAACCTTCAAGTGATCTCAAAAGACACCCAAGTATTTTCTTGGCAGCCAGTACTCTCTTAGCCCAATGGTACAGCACTAAACCATAAAAAAAAAAAAAAACCACAAAAAAAACCCACCCTTGATTTCTGTAATTTTATCTACCTGGCTTTGGAAGGGAGAACTTGTCCAAATGTCTTTTTTGCCCACAGATAGAAGAATTTCCTTGCTAGGTATCTGGAATATAAGGAAAGGTTAGTTGCCTTTGTACTCTTCCTCTGCTAATTCCCAGGCAGCAGTAAAAATAGGAACTTTTATGCTAGTTTCAGTAATGAAACTAAGGGTCTTGGTTTTCAGAGATCAACACATATACGAAATATTCACACCCTGAAATTAGTACCTTTAACAGGACTATTCACCAAGCATAAACAGAGGCCCAAAGCATCATTGCAAGACTTGAACTGGGACAATACTTCTTTAGGAAACCTAGGCAGCTGAAATGTCTTCCAAGCAGCCCACTTACACCCAATGATACTAATGAGCAGGCTGCTGATTAACTGGGGAGCCTTTTTGTGATTTAGAAGCAGTAACATCACTGTTTCCCTGAAGTCAACCAGCTGAGTCAGACTTGTTTCCAGAATACTCGAGCCAATCTAATGTTTACCCCTGCCTGAAACCAGCAGATCTTCCTTCTTCCTACCTCCCCCACAGCAGTTCCGCTTTTCAGCAAGCTTCTCCTAGTACCAGCTCAACTCACTAATCTGTGATTGTGATATTATCACCCTTTACCCCCCCCTTTTTTTTCCAAACAGATTTAAGAGTTAATTGGCTCACAGAAGGCCCCAATAAGCACCAAAGACATCACAAGGTAATTAATTAAAACACACAGCCATGAACAGGGCCTCCCTCTTTCAGCAAGTCTGAGTTGCTAGATCAGCTCTACTTGTTCAACAAATATTAGGCTTTTAATCTCTAAACAATTACCATCCCACCTTTGTCAAGATTCCTTCAACAAACAAAAGAAATAAAGAAACACAAGAGGAGGGCAAGACTAAATCATTACCTGGCAGTCCCCATCAAAGCATATTGTTAAATAGCCATTTTTTAACTTTACATTAGAAAATCAACAATGTACGAAATCTGACTGTGCCAATGCATGTTCTCAAGTTACCACAAGACATCTTCAGAATTGTCTGGCATGCCTGTGAATAAAACCTTTGCCTCAGCCTGCACTTGTCCTACTAAAACCAGACTTCTTTAGGTCTGATCCCCCTGCTCCATTCAGTGAAAATTATTTTGTACTTATCACCTGGTTTGGAATTCTTTTAACCTTCTTCTTTGATGCCAGGTATACCCAACTTGATCCAGATTGTCATGACCTCTGTCCTGAAATTGATGTCTGGCAGACTGGGGAGCAACAGACTGCCCAGTTGCATGCATTTGATGCCTAGGTAGTTGTCGGGTTTCATGCGTCTTCAGAGATTTTGAACTTAAAAGAAGAAATATTTTGTGTAAAACTACATTAACTGCAAAGAAGCGGCATTATTTCAATAAATTAATCTATAACAAATGTATACAATCATATAGAAGTTGACAGCTACAAAATGTTAAAACACGTTTATTGTCTTTTTATCAGGCATTTTTCACTATCTGGAATTTTAAAGTTGTTTCCCCAAGACAAGCAGGAAGACACATTTCAGCGCAATCACGTCACAGACAATTCCTTTCTCCTCTAATGAAATGAAATGGAAAAGCACTAAAATACATTTGTGCTTCCCCTCCCATGTGTATGCATACAGTGTGCCTTTACAGAGAAGATTTGAATGTGTTTTTCTGCCTTTTATTCTTGAACATATCAAGGTATTCTGTCTATTGCTGAAAAACTCTCTTGAGGATTAGGGAACTGAAGTGAGAATTTCCCATTTTAACATGAAATGCACTTTATATATACAGTTCTTTTACAAGGAACTCTTTCCTAGTTTTCCTCATATTTTAACTAAATGTGTTTCTTCTTTAAAAAAACCTAAAAATCCCTTCCTGTTTTTACATATTCATCATTAAAAAGCAAAATTAGGCATATTTTTCCATCATACAGTTTACTTTCACACGTAGTTCTAATCTAAAAAATAACAAGTATGTTTTTATGAATTCTAAGTACTTTGCCTCAGTAATTTTCTGAAAACAAGAATGATAAAAAAAAATCTAACCAGATAAAACTTGCTGAACCAGTTGTATTGAAGCTTCTTTCCCAAAACAAATACTGCCACCACCCTGAAAATTTGCACATTAGAACCACAAACACATTCTTGAACCTCGTAACAGGCAACAGAAGAGGATAGTCTGAAGTCTCACCCTAATAATCACCTGAACTGAGCTAGGAAAAACATGGCTGCAGCTAGAAAAAAAATGTTGGTTCCACAAAGTTACTGGAACAATCCAGACTACTAAGTTTCAGGAGTTCAGCTGAATAACCGCTCACAGTATTAACAATAAATCATTGCGGGAGGGGGAAAAACCCAACAACAAAACCAAAACCCAACCCCGCCACACACACACAAAATCTCATAGGAGGTAATACAGTATTTTTGGCTTGTTCCAGCAAGCTGCAAGGAGCTAAAACAAAGCCAATGAAAGAAAACAAGACCTATATTTTGTGAGAGAGTTAAATTCTTGTTCTCCTATAAAATATTATTTGAATGTTTTCTGAAAGAGGTGGGCCCCATCCAGCAGACAGAATAATTCTGTTCATGTCAAGATGTGCAGTTAAGGCAGCTGTATGCACTTTTGAAGAAAAGTGTTTCAGGCACTTTTAAATTTATGCAAAATAGCTTTCAGCATGAATTCTTGTACACATCTATTAGGCCCAATTCCCTTTAAAACCATCTAATCTGCTCCAAAGGTAAAGCTGGTCTGACCATATGCAATGACAATGTAACACAAAGTAATCAAAAAATCAAGCTCGGGTAGAACATGTAAAAGTTTTGTATTAAAGTCTAAGGCATGTGAATACTTAATGATTTTCCAACATATGTAATTTTTAACAGATTATTCCTAAATTTGAAACACTGTATGTGCTACACATATGTAGTGATGACAGCCCATGCCCATGAGAATTTATGTCAAGTAACCACGAAAAGTAAGAGTTGAAGAAGGATGTAAAGTTACAAAAAAGCACGTGAAGAATAAGAAAACTGACTAATACCACAGAATAAATCTGTGGTTGGGACAAAAACTATATCCAAATATCTTACATTCCAGTCTAATATCTCAAGCTCAAGAACATAATTTTTATATTTGAATGTTATGATACATAAACCCACATAAAGTTGTGTTTCACGATGCTTTTGGGGGTTTTTGGTGGGGGGGGGGGGGCGTTTGTGTTTGTTGTCTGTTTTAAGAGGAACACTTTCTGATTAGTAATGCTCCATAGAGACGAATAAGCCCTCATATGAGAATAACTCAACTTTCTTCTGTCCCATGCATAAGATGTCATAATTGAAAAAAAAAAAAAATCACAGCTGAGCTCTTTAACAAGGTAGCATCTTGTTATTGCTTACCTGCTTCTGGATTTCTCCATTTTGCTACAGTTCCAAGTCTGCAGTAAACAAATGCTCTCCCTGCACTGGAATGCTTTATATCAGCTTTGGGCAAAGCATAAATTAGTTCCTGTTATTTGTGATGAATCCATCAAATGGATCGATACTAAATGCACTCTGTATCTTAACAATAACAGGAATTCCACTCACTCGACCCGCATACAAATAGCATAATGCAATTCTAGATGTTTAATGTGAAAAGCATCTGTCTGCACACTCACAGCTTCACTGACCTGAACGATACTGTGCTGGCGTAATTTACTGGTAATAAAGTCATAACCGTTTGAATCCTAAGACGGCAACTGTACCTACCCAAATAAAGCTGTGCTAAAAAGATGCTATAAAGAAGGAGATGACCCTAAGTTATGTTCCCCTATTTAGAAATAAATTAATAATCAAGGGTGACAAAATCAGTACCTAATCAAACTGACTCCTTTTCCCTAAGCTTCTCTCCCATCACAAGCACACAGAAATGAAGAAAACACTGAATTCCACCCAGCTCCAGCGAGAACTTCTGTATGCACAGAACCTTCCACCTGTCAAAGGCCTCAGAGAGAGTAAGACTCTGTGAAAGCACCTGGACTTACGACCAGCAATCTCCTTGTAAGCGTGAGATCCAAAGTGGACGTTTCTATAAGCAAGGTTTAAGGTGTGACAGAAAAAAACCCAACAACTTACTGCAGCCAATCTGAGTTTGCCTGCACGAAATGCCTTTCGGCAGAGGAGAATTATAATCTGAACGCTTTTTGTGCTTATGGACGAACACTCAAGAACCACACCACGCCGCTCTAAAACCCCGCCTTGAGGCGCCGGAGGCCACGGCCGCGGTGCCTGCCTCCCGCGCC